CCAGAAGTTCAAGCTAGATTCAGAAGAGGATATGAAACGAGAGATATCATTGCTGATGTCAGATGCATTTTGGCTGAAAGCAGAGAATATCAGAAAGATGTTTACCTGTGTTTTATTGACTATGCAAAGGATTCGACTGTGCGGACCATGACAAATTATGGATAACATTGAGAAGAATGGGAATTCCAGAACACTTCATTGTGCTCATGAGGAACCTATACATAGACCAAGAGGCAATAGTTCGAACAGAACAAGGGGATTCTGCGTGGTTTAAAGTCATGGAAGGTGTGCGTCAGGGTTGTATCATTTTACCATACTTATTCAATTTGTATACTGAACAAATAATCCAAGGACCTGGACTATATGAAGAAGAACAGGCATCAGTATTGGAGGAAGACTCATTAACAACCTGCATTATGCAGGTGACGCAACCTTGCTCGAAGAAAGTGAAGAGGACTTGAAACACTTACTGATGAAGATCAAAGACTACAGCCTTCAATATGGATTGCACCTTAACATAAAACAAAAATTCTCACAACTGGACCAGTAAGTAACATCATGATAAATGGAGAAAACATTGAAGTTGTCAAGGATTTCATTTTACTTGGATCCACAATCAATGCCCATGGGAGCAGTGGTCAGGAAATCAAATGACATATTGTGTTGGGCAAATCTACTGCAAAAGACCTCTTTAAAGTGTTGAAAAGCAATGATGTCACTTTGAGGACTAAGGTGCATCTGACCCAAACCATGATATTTTCAATCACCTCATGCATGTGAAAGCTGGACAATGAATAAGGAAGACCGAAGAATAATTGATGCCTTTGAATTATGGTGTTGGCAACGAATATTGAATATACCATAGACTGCCAGAAGAATGAACAAATCTGTCTTAGAAGAAGTACAGCCAGAATGCTCCTTAGAAGCAGGGATGGTGAAACTTTGTCTAACGTACTTTGGACATGTTATCAGGAGGGATCAGTCCCTGGAGAAGGAAATCATGCTTAGTAGAGGGTCAGCATAAAAGAGAAAGACCCTCAAGGAGATGGATTGACACAGTGGCTGTAACAATGGGCTCGAGCATAACAATGATTGTGAGGGTGGCACAGGACCAGGCAGTGTTTTGTTCTGTTGTACATAGGGTCGCTATGAATCGGAACTGCAGAACTGACTTGACGGTAGCTAATAACAACAACTTGTGTATATACATACATATATATATATATACGTATCCATATACATATTCCTGGATAGGTATGGGCCAAAATATTAAAAATTGTTCATGAGTTGTAGGTAATTTTAAACTCCTTTCTTTGTAATCTGAAATTGCTAATATTCTGTAATGAACTTTATTATCTATTTAACTTTTTAAATGTAAAATTTAAAATCACATATACCAACTAACAGCAATGGAAACTTATACATCTGTTTGTAAGAATGTTTGTTCAGGAAATAATATTAAATATAAGCAATGATTTATGCATCAGGATATTCTTAGCAATCCTGGTTTGAATGAGAAAAAATCCAGAAACAACAGTCACTCAAATCCATTTAAATTAACATGCGTGATGAAGCCGATCAAAATAGATCTACGGCATAGACCAAAAGGTTGAGAGTTGCTATCTATGGACAGGAGAATGACTAGAGGTTTTTATTTTCTTTATTTTGCCTATCAATCAAATATATTTCATTTCTTTTAAAACTGATCTTATATTATTTAGATAAGCTAAATAAAACATTTTTTTAAAAAAAAAATTGAATAAGGAAAACAAAAATAAGGAATGTTTTTTATGGCATTATATTGGCAAAAAATGAAGTTTTATAATATTCAAGGAGGAAATTGTGCAGGAAAATGGGCATTCCTATAAAGTGTTGTTGGAAGGGTAATTTGGTACATCCAGGCCACTTGATGGTACAATTAAATAATTTTAGAAGGTTTCTACTTTTTAATTTCACTTCTAGGTACTTAAGTAAATAGTAAAACAAGAATTCTGCTGCAAAATTATTCACCACAGATTTGGGTTTAATGAGGAAAATTTAGAAATTACTATGAAGTCCAAAATGGGAAAATAACTTTAGAAAAATTCTGGTGCAACTATACAATCACAGCGACTTGTGGGAGAATGTTGAATAGCCAAAGACGTTTTAGAGTATTTATACTGTAAAGCAAATTTTGACGGGATATGTTCAGGTAATTCTATACTGGAAACCCTGGTGGCCTCGTGGTTAAGAGCTAAGGCTGCTAACCAAAAGGTCAACAGTTCAAATCCACCAGGCGCTCCTTGGAAACTCTATGGGGCAGTCGTATTCTGTCCCATAGGGTCACTATGAGTCGGAATCGATTCAATGGCAATCAGTGTTTTCTTTTTTAAATATTTATTTTAAAACACATGAATAAATAGGCAAAGGCCTGCAAAGATATAGAAAATACTCTCTTTAAAGTGGTTGTTGCGTACATTTAATGTGCATAGCCTCTTTTTTAAACAACGCACTTGTAAAATGAGATAATAAAAGAAAAAATTCACAGGCCTAACCAATTTCTCAAAACTTAAAAAGAAATACTAACTAAAGAAGATGAACAGGGAAGCATGTACTCCTACACTGCTGGTGAATATAAACTTTATGGAAGAAGCCTTTGGCCACAGAATGATAAAGTACATAAGACAATTAAATATACAAAGATGTCAGCAAACATTCAGCTACAAAGGTTTTCCCCACAAAGTTAATTTTATTGGTTGAGAAACTGGAAGCATTTTAAACATACATTAGGGGCTGGGTTTTAGAAATTATAACTTATCCACAAAATAGAATATTAATTTAAAAATTGTGAAATAGTTAATAATTTGGAAAGATAAGAACAGTTATAGTGAATATATCTCACAAGGAAACAATATATATTACATTTTTGAAGGTAATATTTATTTGTGTACGTTTGCTTATTCAAAGAGGGATTTTTTTTTGTCAACTGGTGGAATTAGAAGTGATTTTCACTTTTTTTCCTTATCCAATTTAAGTTTTTTTCTATCATAATAATGTAGTATTTGTGTAAACATAAATATGTTTACATAAAAACAAAAAAGCTACTGTTTCTCTGATAAAATATTGGCTGAGTGCAGAAATGATTGTAATACCAAGTCCAGAAAATTGTCCAGGAATTTAGTACCTCTCGCACTATTTGTGTACTTTACAAGGGTAAACTGATACTATTTTTATGAATGGTCACTTAATAATGTACCAAAAAAACTAAAACTGCCCATATCCTTTGTCCATGTCCTTGACCCTTACCTCAGCAATGTTTGTTCACGAAATAATCTTGAATGTCAGCAAGGTTTCTGCACTATTATGTTCTTAAAAGCTTTGATTTGGATAATGAAAAAACAGAAATAACCCAGATATTCAACAATAAGCAGTTAAAACAAAATAAATGTACCTATATCTATATTTACATATGGATATAGATATGTACATATATGTACACATTTTTATCTATCCCTTTTTGTAGGCCATCCATACACTAGAACACCAAACAGCCACAGAAACAATTTTAGAAGAATATTTAATGACAGGAAAGGAAGTTCAAGAATATCTGTCTATATATCTATATTTATATCTATTTATATAATATACTTATGCATGAAAAAGCAGATATTGAAACTGTATATACATTAAAATTCACAAATATATAATATACACATGAAAAATACTGAACAGGCACAGATGAGAATGTTTCAGGAAGGTATGGGTGGTCATTAGCATTGATTACTAGTGACATTAATTTTCCTCTGTTGACAGCAATGAAGCTGAATTATCTTTCTGACAATGGGGAGGAAGGCAGGGAGTGGAGGCATGGGAATGGGGAAATAAACAGTGTTTAAATCCAGCAAAACAACCAAGGACAGCGAAATACCATTTGTAGCCCTCCACCCCTCCAAGGAAGCAAGTGCGCACATACACACACATACACACAGACACACACACACCAATTACAGGAACCAGGAAACTATGCTTGGGAAATGGACGTACTCTTTTTACTAGTTGCTGTGGCTGGCATGAAAGCAAATCAGTGCAATGTTTATACACGGGGCCATTTGGCAACACACAGGAAAAGTCTTTAAAATGTTAATATGTGCTGGCCACAATTGAGAACATCCAACCATCTGGGGATGCTAGCAAAGATTTGGCTTGACAAGGAAGTATTCACTCATCAGAGTATGCAGTGTTGGTTTTAAACACAGCGAAAGAACTAGGCACCACCTGACTATCCAGCAATGTGGAAATGACTAAAGAAATTTTAAAGTCCATGGATACACTGGAGCACTCTGCAGGCACTGAAGATGACGTTTCAGAAGCCTGTTGAATAACACGGAAAGAAGTTCAATGGATTGATTTTTGTTTGGCTTTAGGTTCTGGAAAAGCAGGTTAAGAAACACCACATACATGAACCATTCTATAATAGTGTGTTAAAAGGGAGGGTGGGATGGGGATGAGAAAGGAGCAGAGACGGAAAGAAGAGAGCCTGGAAAAACAGCACACCAAAAAGGTAAAAGTGGTTGTCTCTGGGTAATAGAAGCAAGGGAAGCAATTGTTCTCTTGGTTTTCCCCTTATCTGATTTCCTTCTCCTTTCAGATGTTTCTACCATGAAATTGTATCACCTGTACAGTAAACAAAGAGAAAGAAATTCCTTTTAAACCAAACCACGCGGAGAAGAGGCACCCTTTAACCTATCACATGGCAAAGATTAGCAAGATTATTCACTACGCCCTCGGGGGTGGGGGGAGGTGAAGGGAAGGGAGGAGAGGAGAGGGTAGAGAAGGGCAGAGGAGGAGAGAGGAGGGGAGGGGAGAGGGGAGAAGGGAGGGGAGAGAAGAGGGAGAGGAGAGGAGAGAAACCTGCACTCCCAATACACTACACAGACGGCGGGGGTGGGGGGAGGGGTTGTAAACCGGGTGGGAGCCAGGGTTTGGCTCTGCTGGCTTGCTCCCTGTCTCCTGGGATGTCTTCATCGCAAGGTGGCCTCCTCATCCGTGTCTTCCTCGAAATCCTTGACCTCAGCACTGGTGGACTGTCTGGCCCAGGCTCCCCTTTCGGCCTCTCTTTCTTTATGCGACTTGAATCTCCCAACGAAAATTTTGCGGTAGTTCAGGAACATGCCATTCATCGCGTCTATGGCCCGCTCAGCGGACTCCTGCTCCTGGAAGTGCACGAACCCGTAGCCCTTGGGCCCCTTCTCATCGCAGGCCACTTTGCAGGAGAGGATGTTGCCAAACGCTGAGAAGATGTTGTACAGCGCTTTGTTGTCGATGGTCTTCCCCAGGTTCTTGATGAAGACGTTGCCCACCCCGCTCTTGCGGAGCGAGGGGTCTCGCTGGGACCACATGATGCGCACGGGCCTGCCCTTGATGACATCAAAGTTCAGGGTCTCCAAGGCCCGCTTGGCGTCCACCGGTTGCTGGTAGTTAACATACGCATAGCCCAACGAGCGGCGGGTGATCTTGTCCCTGCAAATGCGGATGGAGAGGATGGGCCCGGCCGGGCTGAACTTCTCGTACAGCATTGCCTCGGTCACCTCAGGATGCAGGTCGCCCACGTACAATGAGGCCATGGGGAAGTCGGGGTTCCCCTCGGTGCTCCCGCCCTTGTCTGCATCCACATTTGCATTGTCGGCCGCCGCCGCCGCCACCGCCGCCGCCGCTACCGCAGCCGCCACCTCGGCATCTGCATCCGCATCCGTATCCGCATCCGCCTCTGCCAAGGGGGGCGCCGCAGCCTCTGCAGCAGCGGCGGCTTTGGCCGCACCGGCCTGTGCCACCGCCACTGCCACCAGGGAGGCCTCCACCTCCTCCCCTGCCAAGGCGGCCGCCGCCTCCTCCAGGGTGGCCTCCGCCGCTGCCTCCTCTACGGGGGCCTCGGCCTCCACCTCGGCCTCCACCTCAGCCTCCACCTCCGCTTCCGCCTCAGCCACCGAGGCCTCCGCCACCGCCTCAGCCACGGTTGCCGCCGCAGCCTCCGCTGCAGCCGCTGCCGCCACCGCAGCCGCCACTGTCGCCGCCGTCGCCACGGTCGCCGTTGCCGCCGGGCCGCTGCCGCGACCTCCCTTTCTGCGAGCTGGGGGGAAGAGAGGCGGGGGAGGGCGAGTGGGAGCTGGAACCCGGCGGGGACGCGAGCGGGAGCCGGGGCAGAGGACCCGGGGCCAGCCGAGCTGGCGAGCCCAAGTCACCTGGGATGGCGAGCACTGCCGGGAGCGCGTTGGTCGGAGTCGCTGCAGCCTGCAGCCTGCAGCCTGCTGCTGCTGCCGCCGCTTGGTCGTGGGCCAGCGTGCGGGGCGCGGGCGGACGGCGTGTGGTGGGGGGCTGGGGGTGTTGGCGTCTGTGGTCCGGGCAGCTGGAAAGGCTTCTGTCTCTTTGGTTCCCCCTGTGGCTGCTGCGGGGCAGTGGGGCGGCTGGGCCTGGAGGTCTGGGGCTGCTGGAGGGGGCAGGAGGCTGTGGTGGTGGGCAAGCAGGGGTGTGAGTGCTCAGCCGCTCGGGTCTCCTGGATGTTTATGAAGAGGGAGCCAAGGAAAGGGCTCCACTGTGGCCAGAGGGAATACTGGTTAGATGTAGGGGAGTTTATTTTATCCCCTCTCCCCTATGGAACGTTTAAATAGTAAGTACTATTGCAAGAGAGGGTGAGGTGGCATCCAGAATACACTTGCCTGGCCCAAACAAAGCTAAGAAGAATAGTTTTCTCATATTCAGGCGTGCTCCTCCTCTCAATGCACACGCACTCGCCACCATCACCATCACCAGGAAAACAACTTCTATTCTGAGCGGCCCAAGCTCCCCATGCAGCCTGCTGACCCATTTTCTCAGAGACCCCTCCCCTTCTTCCAGCTCTTTCCCTCCTCTGTAACAGTTGCAAAAGACAGAATTAAAAGCATGCATTCGTTCAGAAAGGCCCTGGGTGTCAGAAAAGGTTTGTACTTGACTAATAACCTAAAGGCTGGTGATTCCAACCCACCCAGCTGTGCCACAGAAGAAAGGCCTAATGATCTGCTTCCTTTAAGATTACAGCCAAGCTCAGTTCTACCCTATAACAAACACATGGCTTTCCATGGGTTGGAATCAACTGGACCTTGACAGCAACATTTTTTATTTTTATTCATTCAAAAAGCCATGCCACAAATAGTTATTGAGACTGAGCCCGTCTCTATGGATAGAGGGGTTCGGAGACGTAGGAGGATGTAGAATGGTTTTGAGTTTGTCTTGGGGAAACAGAAAGCCTGGGCTTGAAACCGTGCCTCTACAACAGACTACCGGAGGACTAGAGACCTGGGGCTGCACATATCCCCAACCACCACCCCCTTGCAGCCTCGAAACATGCATCGGGGGAATCAAGAACACCCTTTCCTTAGTGTTGTCCTCAATGATAAGATGAGGAAAGCCAAACCAAGGGTCGGGCACAGGACCTCATGCAGAACAGGCACTTGTTTATTCTTGGATCTGCCCTCAAGGTGCTGGGGCCTCCAACCTAAACCAAGAGATGCACAACCATGTTCAATAAAAACAAAAACAAAACCTGAAATTACTCTCTAGAAGTCTCAGTTCACCAGCTGAAATTTATGGAAGGCTTATCAAGTACTAGGCATGGGGGGGGGGGGCTAAGGGACAAGCAATGTGGTGAGCATTGGATGTTGATGTGTTGATGTGTGGGGCAGGGTGAGAAGACATGAGCGGTATGTGTTGTGGGAGCAGAGAGGCCACACAGGGCCAAATGCTGAGGAGACAGACAAAGAAGCAACCATTAGAGTAGAGTGTAACAGGGACTAGAGTCCCACTTTCTACAGAAAGGGGAATCAGGTGAGGATGTGCAGAAGAGAGAACCCCCGAGGAAGGTTCTGAAAGGTGAGTAGCAGTCCCCCATGTCAAGGCAGGAGGGAAGTCATTCCAGGCACCGGGATCAGTTTGTGCCAAGGCCCTGTGGCATAACAGCACACACATGGTCTCTTCTGGTCATGCCTAATAATCTGGTGTGGAAGAACTCATGGTCCTCAAGAGTATATAGTAGGAGATGGGGCTGGAAGGTGTGGGGTCCCTTGAGACAAGCTAAGGTGCTTGGATTCTATACCCAAAGTCACAGGAACCACTCAGCATGTTCAATGAGGGAAGCGGTATGACCAGAACTTTAGAGACAGTACATATTAAACACCAATACATATATAAATGTATGCTTGCACAGATAGAGCTGACAGAACAAGAAGGAAATCAGACGTAGACAGTTCCAAAAACGTCAGAACAACCTTTCCCTCTCTCTCTCCTTTCCTTCCATAAATAGGTGTCTCGCACTTACCATGAGCCAGGCATTGAACTGTGGGCTATGGGGTCAGGTTAGGAAAAAAAAAAAAGGTCAACCCAGAGTGCCTTCCCTCAGGAAGTCTTCACTCGACTAAGGCTCAGGCTGCCCATACAAGTAACAGAAATGCCAGCAGAGAGCTATGAGGGCTATGAGATTGGACTATGGTGGCTGTGGAATTTCATCTGCCCAGCACATATTCTCTCCTCCTCCTCCGTCTCTCTGCCCATCCACCTTCTTCAGATAACAGAAATTGTTTTCTGTGATGGCAGTGTTGGCTGGACCTGGACCAACATGATAGAACAACCATGAACATGAGGAATGGACCGAGTCACCACGGGGTGACTGGAAAGGAGTCCGGTATGGCTGAGAACAAGACACACATACCAGCACTTTGCCAGGTTGCAAAATTCAGCTGTCTGCCCCTAGACAGCCCTACTGCCAGCAAAGGCAAGGGGAGAAACCTAGGAGAAGCCTGCTGTACAGCCCCTGCCTGAGCAAGGTGATTACTGCCATCACTGTTAGGAGCCATCTCCTGGGCATCTAGGTTGCGTGCATGTAGGGGGGAGATGATATGTGCCTCACTAGTCCAGGTAGTTGTCCAAGAGGGACCTGAGGAGGTGAGGCCAGGGGGAAGCCATGATGGCTAAGGAATGGGGAATGTGGAAATGATGAGAAGAGTTTCTCAGCCCCATTGTTAAGAGACAGAAATAGCAGAGGGGACCAACTGGAGACCAGTTCAAGGACCAGAACTCAACAAGATCTCTTTGGTTTCCAGCCCACAGAGCCAACAAAATCAGTGAAATGGCAGGTCAGATAGGTTTAGGGAAGTCATGCTGTGGCCCAGTGAATCCCCAAGACTGTCAAACCTGAAGGCAATTCGCAGGCAATCCCTACACTGATCCAGCAACAGGAACAATGCTGCTAAAGTGAAAAGGACAGCAGCTGGGGAATCCTCTCCAAGACTCCTCTCAGAGGCCTCCATGGAGCCCCTCTCTCCCTCTTTTGTTTTTTAGTTCATAGTCAGCTTCTACCATCTGCAATTGAAAGTTTTCTGACTACTGCATGCTGTGACAGAGGCAAAACTGAAGACCACTGTGGAGCTTCACTGGAGGGAGGGAGAAGTCCTTTTCTTGTGGGAGGAAGTGCTATTTATTTCACTCATTCAAAGGTTGAACAAGTATTAATGGAGGGCCTACTTTGTGCCAGAGGGCACTCTTCCAGCCAGAGGGTCCCTGCACTCAGGGAGCATATTTTCTGGTGGGGTAGACAGACAATAAACACGTCAGAAAACATAAAAATAAATGCTTTCAAGGAAATGAACACGGTGATTTGGTAGGTATTACCTAGAATCCAAGAACTGACAAACCGGAGCTATGAAGCTGAAGGAAGGCCTATTTGAGGACAATGATAAGCAGTCAGTCATTTAAGGAACCAGGGGCAGCACCTGCCTAGCACAATTCCCCTGGTCCTGTGGCAGAAAAGAGCTTGGGGGTGCTGGACAGATAGAAGAGATAGCAGAGTGTCTGGAACCCAGTGGATGAAGGGGTAGAGGGTGCAGAGAAAGTTGTAGTGGTGGGCAGTGGCCATGACGAGCAGTATGGTTTTTATTCAAAATGCTACAGACAGCCAGAGAGAGGATTGAATCAGGGTAGTGGCATGGTGTAACTTTATTTAATCATTTGTCTCTGTTCGCTCTGTGTGGAAAATATTTCATGTGAGCAAGACATAAAGGAAAACAAGGAGACCAGTTAGGAGTCTCCTGCCATAGTACAGTTGAGAAATGACAGATGCTGGGCCAGTTTGAGAATAGTGCATGGATTCACATTATATCTTGGAAGCTGAAGAGACAGCACTTGACCATGGAGTGAAGGCAGTCCGTGAATAAACTGAAGAAAAGAACCATTACTGCAGGAGCATTTTCTTGCATGTCCTGATCATAGAGATGTTAAATATTGTGATAGGCAATAATCTGAATGTACCTGGTAGGTTTGGAGAAGGGGGCAAGATGGATGAGTGTCAAGAGGCCATATTTGCACATGCCAAGTTTCTGAATCCATTTGTCCACAATATAGGCTAGAGAAACAGATAACAGGCCTAGATAGTGTTTAAAGCCATGAGACTGGGTGGGATCACCTAAAGAGGGATTTTTGTCAGAGAAAGAAGGTTCAGGGCTATCTTCTGAGATATTCTAACATTTAGAAGTTGGATTGAGGAGAAGAAGCCAGGAAAAGAGATTGAGAAAGACTGGACAGTCTAAAACTGACTTCTCTCTAAGGCCTTGCATGT